CTTCGTTTAACAAAATCGCGTTCAATCGCGAGAGGAAATCTCTTAAAAGCAAAAAATAAATCTAAAGAACGTTTCGATGAAAAAGTTCATGAGGAAAAATTTGAAATGGGTGGTTTCGATCGAGCCCAAAAAAGAACTCGACGTAACAAACTAGATCCCCACTACATCAGCTCTTACGAAATTGTCGATATCACAGAACAGGGTAACTATATTCTGGAAAATCAGGACGGTACACATTTCATGAAACATCCTAGTAGAATCAAGAATTTCTCTCTCCCGGTAAATTAATAACTTAACTCAAAATTTTTTTTTTCCTCCCTTTCCCTTGATTTTCCCTATAAGAAAAATTCCAAGAAAAAATGATGAAGAATAACGCCTTCTCTCTTCATATCTGGTTATAAAATCAAAATTGAATTCAAACCTCTTAAGAAAGCACTCTAAGAAATCCACCGACCTTCTGTGCTTCGTTAATCGATCATCAGACCCTCCTCCCCACTCCACGGCGGAACGTAGAATCGTGGTCCCAATTGGGCAGAAATGGAGGCTGTTCGAGAGGGGGGGGAGGGGTACCGAAGACCCGGATGGGTCGGAAGTGCTTACTAGAACTCATGTATCACATATGGACGTGATTCTTAACCTTTTTCCTGGCTTTAATTCTAAAGAGAATTAACTCCCTTTTCTTCTACTCGGATTAGAAAAATTGAGGGTATGTTTTCACATTTGACATATCAAAGGAAGAGACAGAGACTACATTCTTTCCTTTCAATTTTCCTTACTCCCCTGTTTTACAGTCATCTTTACTTAAAAGTCATCTATTTAAACAGTTTTTGATTTCAGATGGAGTATCTTTACTCACTATACCTTTTAGCAGTGCTCTTGCTTTCTATGGCGAGCCATTGTTATAAACTTGAAACTTTTAACCACCGTCCCAGAATTTACTATGCAGAAAACAATAACATAAATCTAGTTCGAAAAACGTGGAAGATCGTTTCAACCCTGGACGTCTCAACGCTCATCACAGCTCACCAACATGATTGGACGACTTTTCAAGAGCAATATGAAAATTGTACAAGACTGTTAAATGAAAAATGGTGTCAAAATCTCTTACAACCAGACTCTATTGTCTCTGAGATTCTTCGAAGAAGCCAATTATCAACTTATCTTCGCCAGCTGATTAAACGTACTCCTTTATACATCCAGAGGAGCAAAAGATTACCTTCGTTCGGTGTAATAGGCACTGGTCTCAGGAAACTCTTTGGAACCATGGATTATAATGACTTCGAACACCTTTCTCACGAGATAGACAAAATATATCAAGACCACGCCAGCATCGTGCATCTCGTCAACAGTTTTACCTATATTATCAGAGCAGAAGTCAACACGCTTGTTGACCAAGTCAAAGAAAATAATCACGTAATCAATAATTTAATAAACGACATCAATGACTTGAACGTAGACCTTACGAGCTGGGAATCTGTGTACAACTTAGAGCAGAGCTACACTCTGTTTGGAATGAAGTTCTTTAGGACTTTGCAACAACATAACTCAATCATGAGGCAAGTCATTCTAGCTGTGGAAGAAGCCAGGAGAGGAATCCTCAACCCAATTACCATTTCATTAGCTCAGATGACTCAAGCATTGGCGCATATCGAGCAACAACATTCAGATTTAAATCCTCCCCAACCATTGGATCAAATCGACCTACAAACCTTATCTGAAATCTCAGAAGTTTATGCACACGACTCGGTCAATATTTTGTGACAGTCATCGAGATGCCATTTCTTGATCAGCAACTCTGGAGAAATTATCATCTACTGCCATATAAGATCCCTGAACAACTGGGTAATACTGATTCAACCCTTACTATCATTCCAAAAACAGAGTATATTACACTCTCGGATGATGGAGAGCACCATTTCCACACCACTTAAGACTATTTGAACAAATGCACGCCAGCTGGGAAAACTATTGCATGTTTTCCTTCAAAAATGATTGAATCTTCGAATAACCGGCTCATTTGTGAGGTAGAACTCTTATGTTATCCTTCTAACGATACTCTCAGGAAGTGCAAGATACATTTGATAACTGACACAACGACCATCTGGACTGCATTAGCTAAACAAAACACTTGGTTATTTTCTACCAATAAACCAGAGAGCTTCCATATCATTTGTAACAATCAGATGATCGAAAACATCGAGTTGACTGGTAAAGGAATCCTTCATCTTAATCCTGGTTGTATTGCTGAAAACCAATATGAGTCAATTTTGAGTCTTAACATCTCCGGCGTACTACCTTCATTCTCACTCAATTTATCTTTTCTATTACCCTCTCTTTCTTTATTACCAGACTTATCAGTCTCAGTATTAAACCAAACTAATTCAAAATCTGACAGTTTTGATGCTACAGGTGCGTGGGGGGACAGCTTAGATCAATTGGAAGACGAACTCAATCAGATTTCTCTACGTCACCACGAAATCCAATCCCATAATATCTGGAAGTAGAGCATCACTGGCCTAGGGGGTCTCTCACTCCTCATGGTGGCTTGTTATTTCTTCTATAACAACTTCTATCGCTGCAAACCACTAGCCTCTAAGACCAAGAAGGGCCTGAGACAACGGCGAGGCGCTGAAGTCCCCTTATCTATCATAATCCTTCCTAATGACACACTTGTCTCCAACACGGTAGCAGAGGGAAAACCAACTGCAGGCACTGAGGATCTGCCTATAGGTACTTCAAGAACAACCGCGGGTATTGTAATTGCCCCGAGTCCGGGTTTTGAAAACGAAAATTTATATATAACCTAACGAATGCGGATACCTATTGTTTCATTTTATGTTTTTATAAACTATTTCTATAATCAATAATTTAATGAGAAAATAATATACATATTTTTGTCTGAGCCTAATAAGGAAATAAAAAAACATTTAAAAATCTATTTAAATTTGACGTCACATTACCTAGTGACAAAGTGAATTGTGCTGATGCTTACATTCTTGAGAATCATATAACTCGCGACCGTGTAGGGTATCACAACAATACACTCAGTACTGAAACTTTTATAAGATTAATTCCTCCTTTCTTTCAAATTTTACAAATACATAAGGGTATTTAAATAACCACATCAAATAGATAGTTAGTAATAAGGAAGATTTTACATATTCACCCAAAGTTTTATACCACTATATATATATTTTTATCTTTTATTCTAAATTGTTAAAATAAAACTTATAAAGAGAGTTATTTGTGAGTCTTGCAATAATCGACAATGTCATACTACGCGGTGGCAGAAGGGCGTAAAATTAGCATCTACCCCTCATGGCATTATTGCCGCCCCCGAATTGCTAACTATCCCAATCCTATATTCAGTAAATTTTGGAATTTACAGTAAGGTTTGGACCTTATCCGATGCCCGTAACTTCCTCATAAGTCGTATATACCCTATTTTAGACCTCTCCAACCTTATAAAAACATCCCTATTTCCTCGAAATGAAATAAAAAAAGTTGTAGTCTACCCGGATGGAGCCTGCACAGGAAATGGTACGTCCGAAAGCAGAGCAGGAATCGGTGTCTACTTCGGAGAGAATCACCCCGAAAATATCTCTAAGTTCATCCCCTGGAGACACACCAATAACGGAGTTAAGTCGAAGCCATCATCCTACTCTACGAGTCCTCATCACCTTCGAACTATACGACGTACTCATTTACACTGACTCACAATTCGTTGTGAACAGCATCTACGAATGGTTACCTGGGTGGCATCGCCAAGGGTGGAAAAATTCCTCTGGTCAACTAATCGTCTACCAGAAAGAAATAAAATACATTTACACCATCATCAGGCAATATTGCATTACCATCTACCACGTATGGGGTCACCAAGGGAACAGAAAAAAGTTGTTATTTATCTTTATATAGGGAATTTTTAAAACTACTTTTTCATGAAATCTTTGCACTCATTTTTAAAGTATTTCAGTAATGTTAAATCTGAAGTGGCGATTTTTTAACTTCGGTCCTGCAAAAAAAAAATATTCTTGATCGACTCAGCATCGAAAATTGAATTACTTTATTTTTTGATTTTTTTTGAAACGATATCTTTGGTGTAATTACGACCTCTGGCACGAGTAATAGATTTTGTTCCATTTCATACGTTGAGAATGCTGACCTCGTGAAGTCAACTCTTTTTTTCATTTTAATATATAAATAGAACCCGGTATTTCTATTTTATGGGTTTTGTTTACAGCACAATATCTCTAAGCACGTTTATTGTTCTAAAAAACTCGCTATGAGAGCGAAGAGTGCGTCCGATACGCTGTCTCTCTTGGGCTAAGTGCCAGACCCTCAGCGCCTCGATTTTTCTTAACTTTTACAGTTTGCGAAATCTCAAAAAAAGGCTAAGAACTTTTTGTTTCTAAATTCCATACTTATTTTTTTTTTTTGAAAAACTGATTTTATTACCATAGATGCCGAACTTGAAATGCATTTTTTGCGAAAACTGCAATAAATGCGAAAAAATGTTTTAGACAATAGTTGTAGATTTTAACATTTTCTACATTTTCTTTTGAACATTTCCTATTCTATATATAATAGTTTACGTAAAATAATAAAAAAAGCGGCTTTTGGAGCAATCTTACTTCTTTCCCACCCTGACGCTAGGTTCGCAACCCTCTCAAAACTATCCCTAGTTAAATTTAGCATACCCAGAAACATTTCAGCCAAGTTTAGCCGAGGGCGAGAAATTGCCATTTCAGGTCTAAGTTGACTGTACTTAAGTTGCAATTCTTCAGGATAATGTGATGGACATTATATCACAAGGTGAAGGCTATGTTTGAATTGTGAGAGAATGAAATAGTTTTAAAAATCTGTCTACAGATAGAAAAATAAACGAAACATGATTAATATACGTGAATTTGGATGTCTCATCCAATCAGTGAACATTACTGCGTACTAAAGCTTGTGAGGAATTTTATTTAAAGTGATAGATAAACGTTAATATTACTTACTTGTTGCATTCGCTGCATAGAAATGGTTTTATCTAGTAAACTACCGGGTGTTATAGGTTGAACATCTCCTTTGATAGTAACTACAACTTCATTCTCAGATCCAGCGGCTAATTCCAAGATTCGAGCGCCATTTACAACTAATCCTGATATTACTCCTTGGAATGGTTTTTCTACTCTTGCATTACTTTTATTCCATTTTCCTCCGACTTGAATGATTGATTGACTGTTAAAAATTGTAAGTTGATGACCTAAAATCAAATTGATGAACAAATTTAAACCTGCGACTTCATCGACATGTAATCTAAGGAACAAAATATCAGTCAATTCACTGGATATTCGATTTTCTTCTTGCCAGAAGTAAAATACTTCTAAAAAATGATACTGCTTACTTTGTGCAACTTGAGATACTAATTCTTACATGTTACACTGACAATTCTTACACTTCATGAAAGTATATTAGTTCGGTCGCGGTGGAATTAAAAATAGGGGTACTACCGAATTTAACCTCCCATTTCAAACTGAGGTTATCTTTATGTAAAATTGCACGAGGATTCTAAAAAAACTATTCACAGGCAAAAAAAGTGTACGCGTCATTGAGTTTATTTTTTATGGACGATTTTTTCCTACTAGAATCTGCACATTTTTATTTATAACCTTTCAGTTATGCAGAAATCGACAATACTTTTTTTCACACTTTTCATCGAAATTAATAAAAGGAATACTCAATTTTATTCGACTTCAAAACCTCGCAGACAAATTAATTGATATCAAGTACGACATCTACAAATAAATAGCGACCAAAGTGGACAGGAAAATTCATTCTCTCTCAGATTCAATGATTTTAAGAAGAAACCGTCTCCCTACTCTTGGATTATGACTGCTGCGTTTATTCATGTTCAATCTAGAAAATTTATTTGGATGAATGGATGATTGAACGGAGATCGTTTTCATCATTCGTAACGCACTCAGCTTTTTGTCGCTGGTGACTTACACGTGATTAGCTCAGTGTTAAGTTTTTAAACTTCATATGTCTTCCGAAGTATTTATTTGGCAAACTTTTTGCTGAGGAACTTTTGTTCCTATTTCCGCTCTAGATTACGATCGTGTCAATATTGACGTCGATTTTTTGCACATCTTGTATAATAATTTTTACACTAGAAACGAGATGGGTAAAATTACATTAAACTACGCCAAACTGGTGTCGACGTACTCCGATTCCATCAACTGACGCACGTGTTTGTCACGATGCAACAAGTTTCGAGTGTTGTTGAATGCAAACTTCAGTGTTTGTTTTACTAAAAATGTAAATTCTTATTAGAAAACCAGAGTAGAAAAAATAAGTGGCCGTTTGCGTCGACAAGAGTTTGAAATTTATTGTTTAGATGTTTGTAAGTAGGAATATTGTGTAATATTTTTTAAATATAACACAATTAAATTATCAATGAAAATATACACATTTATTACACTTCTCCCGATATCTAAAAATTGCTACCAGGCAACCATAGTTAAGTAAAATATTGGATTCAGCTCAAATCGACGAAACATCCTGTATCAATAATTAAAATAAGAAAATTATCCATTATTAACAAAAAGAATCGAATTATAATATAACCTTGCTTCGAAAACGGCCGAACTTTTAACTTTACCTGTTACAAATAAAATAAAATAAAGTTCTGTTTAAAAAAAATCCTACGTTAGGTAAAAAACCTCCTTAACGAGTTAAAATACAATTAAAAATTTTTTTCCAACTACAAGTGTAATACCAGGAATTGTTTGCAAAAAAAATAAGTAATATACATTCGTGAAACCTATTCATAGTGTTTGCGTTATCTGCACATATCCGTAATGCTGATGAATTTACATTCTATTAAACATGCAGCTGCAACTTCCTTTCGATATAATTATTCTAATTATGTTTTCCTTGCAAATGAAAGAAAAATGGTTATTACCATTTGGGATTTTTTTTTCAAGAACGTTTTATCAATCTCGACCATTTTACACTTTCTGCCTAGTACCAAATCACAATCACTGAACATCTGATGGAATCAGGCGCATTTTGGAGAAAAGAAGCTTGTATTGAGCATTCAAAAGAATCAAGAAATACATGTTCACTATATGATACTGCAGGTATATGTAATCGTACGCGTATGAGGATTATTTAATACGACATTATCATTGTCTTAAATACATAAAATGATCATAATGATCATAATTATTCTTATAATTTCCTAAAGTGATAAACAAGACCAACAAATAAAAGAGTAACTATTGTATACGAGTTATTGTTTCGTAATTACAAGCACGTTTTGAGTAGAGTAGATTATTTGAATGTTTAGTCTTCTTTATATACATTCTTTCGATTAATTTTATTGAAGATAACACGTAACAAAGAAATTTCAAATACAGAGTACAAGGTTCAAAGTAACTAGCCTACCTGAGGGATGACTTGACTGAAGATCATAATCATCAACTTGTAACGTGCTATTTGCACCGTTCCGTAGAAATCTCATTATGTGGTATTGATTATCATTTACTTTGACTGTAGTTTCGCTAATTGGATGATCCATCGTTCCCACGTTGAAAATAGTAAAAATGTTGCCTTCAGTCTGAAAATTTATAAAACCAGTTTAGAAATTGTGGTTTAATAGATGTAAAGAATAAGCCTATCAAAAATGTGTCCAACGGCTATAAGATATGATCAAACATATGAAACTAAATTTTCGGAAAAATCGGATAATTATTAAACTGATAAACTTATAACAAAATCAATTCATTAGATACGACAAAATTTAGGTACGTAAAAGACCGCGCGATTTATCGAATGATTTTTATACAGAATTTGTTGATCACTGTAGGAGGTGTGATATTCAAGAAATACGTTATTAAACTATTCATGACGTTTTCAATCAATATTCTGTATAAGTTATCTAATAAAAGATATTATGATATGTCACTACTAAATTCTTGGTAGATGACACATATTTTCCGAGGTTACAGGTTAATTTTCTCCATTCGATCTGCCTTTTTTTAACGCAATTACAAGACTTTACATTCATCAAACTCATTATTTTCCAAGCGATCAAGTAAGTGTAAATTTCTGCTGAGAAAAATCAAACTCAGCTAATTTTGATTAAATCAGAGAATGCATCAGAAAATAGGCATTCGCAGAACAAAAAGACTCATGTTCGGAACGCAAATTGCCTAAGAATAAGAACAAATGCTAAAAAATGATCGGATAATTTATAGCATTACTTAAAGTTCTAACAAGGAAACCTCGCGAAGTAGTCGCTGTCGATTGAGCTGCGGTTCCTGATTTTGACACCCTATGAAAGTGATTTTTAATTTTCACATTGTTCTAATCTAATTTTTAAAAACGACTTAGTACGTTAGAAACAACATAAGAGATGATAAAAAATAAATTTATATACATATTTAAAAAACTTGCAAATATACTTTTTTTTTAGTAAAAATAATAAAAAAACTATCACTCAAAAACTATAATTTTTCTATCAATAAGACCAATTTTGATCGAAAGAGCATAAAAAACTGCGCAAAACGTTTTTTCCCTTTTTTCCCAGAGTTGTATCAAAATAACGAAGATGAATTATTTATTCATCGTACGCATTGTATATATGATGATTATTTAAAAAATGTTCAAGACACATTAATTTTCACACCATGCACAACGGATAATTGCAATATTTTTTTTATTCCGGAATTTTGCAGCGAGACTTACAGTTATCGCCAAATGGAAAATCGACTAGATTTTAAAATAAATGTACCGCGGGACAAGAGTTGATTATGACTTAGTGATTGTAATTTAATAATATTATTTTTTAAGGGTAAATTTAAATCATTTTCTCATAATAAGACACTGTATGGAAAATGTCTTACAAAGTTTTTCTATATTCTAAACCCAAAAGCATCTAATTTTTGAATTAGTACAGTAGCCCTTTCAAAAATAACCATTATCTCAATTTCTTTATCCGGTGTTTTGGCAGATGTGTCAGCTTCAGAACAATGTCCAGTTCACGAATCAATGAAAAGTAAACTATTTTATCCAACATTCCGAAAAAATACATCCTTTAACCAGATTTTGAAGTGTTCTAAAAAAAATTGATATATAATCTTCTAGAATATATCATATAATATAATATTTAAATCGAATTGTTTACCAGAAGTAGTTATTTAGATTTCAATATTTCTACGTGTACATTATCTGGTCTAAAAAACAATGCTTCTACCCGTAGACCAAGTTTTCCAGTTGGTTCTTTTAACACAAGAAAAAGGGAAGTAAGGTGTTTTCTACCAGCTGATACCAGCTGGTACTTCTAATTGAAAGTCACTTTGATCAGAATTATATATGTTGTCTAAACCATATGATTGAATTTTCGATTTTACATCGTTAACGAACACTTCTGATGTTTGTTTTAATATTTTACGATCTTCAATCGTTTCTGATGATATGAATTTGTTAATTTTATGAGGAACAGTATAGTGAGCTCTTTTGAATAATAGTATTTACGTTGGAGATGCTTGAAAACAGAGATCAATAGATTGTAAATTTTTTTGGCTGATAATGCTTATTTTTTTTAATCAGAATCATGGACTATCATCACATCATCGATCGCAGTTTTAAAATTTTTCTACGTATATTTGCAAATTTGAGCTATTTTTTCTTCCTATGTTTCACGTTGGTCCAATTGATGTGCTCAGCGTTTTAATTGTCGAGTAGACTGTACTTTTTTAAATTTTTGTTTGACACTATTAATACTTAAATTCTTTTTCTTACAACTTTACCAATACTTAACTGCTCACATTTCATAATCATGACTAAAGCTTTTTTTATCAGTAGTACATACTTCATCAGACACTTTTCGTTCATAAATTGCAGATGCATATTCTTTGTCCTGTACAATGTCTGGTTTCCAATCGTTACACAGTTTTTCAAAATGTCATGAATTCTTCTCCATCATTTCGATATCAGTTTAGTCATTCATTGCATTCAATTATATTTGTTTAACGTGATCCTTCAATTGTATTTCAGCATCATTCAACAAAAATTAAAATAAATACAAGATGCAAAAATATTTATTCACTACAGTATTAAAGATAAATGCAAAAAAAAATTCAATTTAATTAAAAATTTCTTAGATGATTAAAATATGTTAAATTCGTTCAGAATGCTAGCATTGAATAATCCGTATATTACAGTTACAGAAATAATTTTCCTCAAAAAAAGATCATCAGTGACTGTGATAAGAATTATATTATTATTTTACGTATCTCGTAATTTTTTATACTCTTTCAATAAAAATTGGTTCCTGAAAAAAATAATTTTTAGTTTTGAGTTACAGACTTTTTGTTATTTTTAATAAAAAAGAATGTATATCTGCAAGTTTTTTTAATATGTATATAAAGTTATTTTTCATTATTTTTTATGTTGATTTAAACGTTCAAGGTTGTTTTGAAAAATCTCGATTCGAAATATGTGAAGATTAAAAACCATCTTTATAGGGTGTCAACTTTGTGGGTGCTTTCAACCTCTTCGAAACATTATTTTTCCAAAAAAAAAAAATACGAGGTTCATTATTTTCGACGTAGATTGTTACAAAGACACGTCATCTAAATCGATGATGACCACCTCGCATTACTTTTCAGTTCATAAGTGGCGCTCAAAATTGACCTTTTTTTTTCAACAGGTAACATAAAATAAACTTGAAACTATTATTCTGTTCGGCTAGGAAATAAATTGAACGCTGAATTGATTGTACAATGTCTATATTAATTTTGCCAACATGAATTTATAACATCGGGAGCAATGGAATTTTTGAGGTTAACAAACAGTCTTTATTGCTATCAGTTCTTTCGATTAGTTTGGATTAGGTTTAAATTAGGTTTGAATAACCGTAGTGGCGCTAAAAATCGATTTATTGAAAAAAAATTTTTACTAAATTTAACAACAATGATTCTGAATTGATTTTGCGTTTAGATAGATTGAATTTGTTCTGACTTTGAGTCGGCTGAGTGAGAAGTCGGGACTTTGTGGACTGTATTTTTTAGGATGTTTGGATGCTAGAACAGTCGGGACTTTTGAACGGTGTAAATGAGTTACTAAAATCACAGTAATAGAAAAATAACAATAACAGAGTCTTTGAATTGTCTGTACAGTCTTGAGTTCACGGAAATTTCACACAGAGTTCACAGATGAGTTGACTGAATAGTAGAGGATTACAGGAAAGTTGTAAGTTTTCCTGTACTGGTCTCTGTACTAGGAGTAGCCTGATTTTTTTGAGTAGTCTGTTTCATTGTGTTGGCGTCAGCCACACAGACACAAGCGAGTTGTTCGTGTATGGATCTTGTGTGTGTGTCTGTCCATGAGGCCGTGAGGCGTCGAAGCCGACATCATTCGCGCCTTTTGTAAGAAGGTGCTGATGCGGATCAACATGAGCTTCCTGAGGATGTCTTCTAAGAGGTAGACTGCCTGATGAGTTCATAATCATCACTATAGATGATTAACTGGTGAGTTAGTCTATGTCTGAGGAGTTGTCTGGGTTTTCACTAGAGAGTTCGACTGCGTGAGCTCTCTGCTAGTACACACGTACCGAGTTGACTGTTACAACGAGTTGTCTGTAGATCTGCATCGTCCGATGATGCCCAAGAGTCGTCCGAGTACGAGCTACGTACGAATACTCGTAGTAACCGGCGAATACTGACTAATACATACTGTTTTTCCCGAAACCTCTGCGTTCTCGAAGCTTCTAGGCCCTTCGAAAAGGGATATATACGTCTAGGAATTAGTGAGAGTTGTCTAATTGGCGAAAATGAGTTGGCAGGAGAGACCTCGAGTCATCTAATTATTCGGTGGGGAGAAAAATGTTAGGCCGTCGATAGAGTACCTTAGACCAAGTCAGAACAGAATTTTTCTAACAAATGAAAAAATTTTAACAACAAATGCCACGGGACTCTATCTAAGCGCCAAATTTAGCTAGAAAAATGATAGATGAGACAAATTCGATGTGGAAAGACAAAAATTATCAATGATAGTTTGAAAAAAATATAGGAAAAAAACACACGAAGTTAGAAAACATCTCAAAAATCATGCAGGTTTCATAACGATCATTCACAACAAGAATTATTTAAAGTAATCTTTTTCTTAATAGATGTTGATATATGAAGGCAGTAGTAGAGCGGAAATGATTTCATTGGCAAACATTCTAGAATTAATAAGGATAAAACGGCACAGTGAAGAAGATGTGCGGCTATCGTATAGTATAAATAATATACAGATTTTATTAAAAACAAATAGGACCCTAAAGTCATCATTTTTTTATTTTTCAGCATATGCTCAAAAATTTTCAGATATAATTTCTAAATTAAAATTGGCATGATTTATCTGACAAAGTAATTAACGCAATTTAATTCGAATCTTCGCGTTTAATTTGAAACACGATTACAATTATCGATATTTATATTTGAAACTTTCGAGACTTTGTATTGAGCACATATATATATTCTAGAAAACTTATATTAGAGAAATTCACTCACAATTCCGATTTCCAAATAATCGGCGCTTGTTGCTGAATCTATTCGTAGGAGTACCGCATCATTTATACTCGTAATAAATCCCAGAGCGATGCTATCTTTCTTCGATTCTGGTCTTTGAGTGGTTGGAAACGTATATGTTATGAGACCTCTACCAGGTCCGAATTCATAAGCCACTGCTTCTGTAATCAAAAATAAAAATTCAAGGCTAAATTTCGATTATTACTACGTGTGAACACAACCAAAATAAGTAAATTATTTATTAAGTCAATGTGCTGCGAGAGGTTAATCGCAATCTCGCAGTTGGACTTGCTATCGTCCCAGCTCGTGCTCAGTCGAGCTCACCCGATCCGCTCGCCCTATTCCAGCTCTTGTTTCAGCGCTCGGCGAATCCTAGCTCTTCTTCTCCAATCTAGCCAATGACAGTTGCTCTATCATTGTGCTAGGTCTACCGACGCCGGCTACAACGTGTTTGCAGCTATAAACGTTCAAGCGAAGCTCAAGTACACGTGCTCGATTATCGCTCGTTCCTATTTTGCAAATCCTAATCATTTCAAGCTCTTGATAAATTCAATTCTGTTAAAGTAAAGTTCAATTAAGCTCGTAAATTGTTAATAAGTAATTGTTAACTTAATAAATAATTTATTTTTGTAATAAACCTGATAATAAGCTCAAGAAAAGTGTCTATTGAGTGAGTGCACCTCCCCCGACCACATCCTACGGCGTAGCTCGATCGCTATCGATCTTTTAGCTCTAAATAAATGAACTTAATCAATAATTTTCGGTTCTACACAATGTAAAAGATATTCACACTTGGTTATTTTATAAGTTATAACTGACTTCTGAAATAATATACATATTTTACTGGATAAATTTTTGTAACATGTTACGTACAAAAGATATAATTAAGCTTTGGTTCAAAGTTATATTAAATAGCTCCGAATGATTAGTAGAATTATTAAATTCACGTTTTGATGTAACAGTTCATGATGTGATAACTCTTAGATTTCAATTGAGTCCCGTTGAGTCTCCATACTCAATGAGAATATAACACTCAGAGGAACCGTAGATCTCGAGTAACCTTGCCAGCAGTTTTGCCAATAGACATTGCTATGACGGTCAACACTCAACTAACTGTCATTACCCAATGTTAGAAACAATTCACGTGTTCTGTTCTAGTTATTTCTACTGAGACGGTCTGAGTCCGATTGATAATAAAGTGCTTCTTTACGTTTAAGTCATAGAAATAACCTACACTGAATATTTGATGCAAACGTTCAAATAAATTCTCTTTGAAAACCAAATAGAAATGTAAATTTGATAACGTCAATTTTATAGAAGTATTAATATAAATTCCGCAATTAGTCACTTTCGTTAAAACTAAAATTTTTTTATTTACAATGTTGTGCGTTACTTACACACATTTAATGCAACACTTTATAAACATTGCTTCAACGTGTTGACACTAACGAACTTTGACTGTACGTACTACATGTCTAAAAAATTTTGATCTTGTCATGTCAGCTATTCTGTCCTATATTTGTAATACATAAATACAATCCTCCTTGTGTATCCTATGGATTTTGATCCGGCTCGTTGATTGTGATAAAAAACTGGACAGTGAGTGAGAGAGAGCGAGAGAGAGAGAGAGACATATCGATCTGTCTCTCTCACAGCAGTATCGTACCCAAGAGCTGTTCAATATTTTTACCGTTTCTAATTTCATTAACCATAAATGGCCAACAACTTTTTACCTGTTACAGCTAACGGTATGCAGATCTGATTTTTTTAATGTAAAATTGTAGCTACTACAACTGTTCATTGAAAAATTTCGTTGTATGTATCATTTTCTTCGAAAAAATAAGAACGAGTATGAAGAAATGCATTAAAAAACGTTCGAAGGGTGATTTCAACTCCTGCCGGGTGTCAGATTGTACTTTTTTAAGGGGACCTAATTCTAAATTCCCTAAAAAATTTCATCTATCCTAAGATTACGTGAATTAAAACCTGATATAAGTAAACTAGAACAGACAAAAAGACACAAAAATTTATATAGTAGTACAGATAGATAAGCAATATACTACTGACTCACATATCACAGGACGTCTGAACTTATACGTTTGATTTACTTACAATTCCACATAACAAGACTTTCCTGAACCTCAACACCCACTGAGAACGGATATTGACTAGGTCCTACTTAATAATTTTTTCACTAATCATGAATAATATATTTATCAATACTATTTAACACCCACCTGTCGTTATCGTAAAAATGGCAAATAATCATTGGTAGAGTATTGATTGTCATAGTAACTGTTGCTGCAGTAACTATTACTAGACTATTACTTTAACTTTTTATTTATAAAAAAAAAAAAGAAAATCGTGACAAATTCAATATTTCTCCAAAAAATTTTAGATGAGTTAGCATGAGAAGGAGAAAATTATGAAAATGATTGTTTTCATGAATAACTTGAAAATACGTCTCACCATAAGTTAAACTGTCAAGCAATAGTAATACTTAACATTTTGTACATACTAGAGCTATAATATAAATGTAAATTTTCTAAGTAACACAAATAAATCAAAATTATAACACATTTTTGTTATTTCTCATGCATTTACGAAAACAAATTAAAACTGTGTTCTTCAGAGCTAAAATGTGTTTTTCACGTTTCACTATAAAAATTCTTTAACAAAACATAAATAATGTTTGAAAGCATTAACTACTTACTATGCACCATAATTGTATTCAACACTACTCCATCAGTTTACCAAATTGGTTTTAATTTCTTTCGGATAGAAAAAAGCCTTATAGTAATAGTGAACGAATTGATATTGATAAGACAATTCGAGGCAAAATACATAATTTCTGTCAATTTTAATCATATCATGCTGCATAGTTACATTTTACTGCTCTCTATTCGTGGGTTGTAAGTATGTAGATCCAAGAACAAGATATTTAAAATTTTTCAACATGATTTGAATGTAAGTGTGATAACTTAATTATTTTTCCTTTGGCTACGTAATCAGATAATAACTTGATCTCTAACAAGTATTACGACATGATAATTTTGAAGTTATTTCGAACATCAACCTAAAATTAAACATTTTGTGCATATTTTACGTCGAGAAGCTCAATTTATATAAAATTTTAGTAGGCTATACGTTTTTTTGTGCTGAACAAGAATGCATATTTAGGGCACGGAAAATGTAATTCCAATCTTTCAAAAAAAAAAAGTTTAATAGCTCGAATTTTTTACATGGTCCTTCGAGCCGGATGAGTAAATAATTATCACCTTATTACTATTTCAGTTGCGATTTAGAGTTAGTGTAATACTATCTTACTCCTGTCTGAACTTGTGACAGTTAGTGACACTCCAGTGACTATATCAGTGCATCTTGTGAGTTCATGTGCTATTAGTGAACTTGTTGACCTGTCTAGTTAGTTCTGTAATTTTATAAATTCAGCAGCATCATGTCTGAGACAAAGACAACTGAGAAGCAACCAGGCGCTAAACCTGAGTCGTCTAGCACTCCGCCCACTTAGTTATTGTCTATTGCAGTGCCTTCAGCCTCTGCTCAGCACTCACCTGGTGACGTCACATCACCAGCCAACTTCTCAACTCCTCTACAAGACATTTTATCTCACGGAGGACAACCTTCTGTGCGTACTCAACAACCAACAACACTCAGCCGCGCAAAACGGCGTTCACGATCTACATCTCCTCTCGTCATTCCCAGCGACCTGCAGAACAAACTCAACACTCAACTGGGCATGTTAGAGCTTATCGATAATTTCTGTTCTTCTATGCGTCAGATAGGAGCCACGATGTCGCTTGCAGACCTAGAAATATTTAAGTCTCGCGTTAAAGAGACTCACAAAGAGTTTGTTGAGGCTCATGAATATTTGGCGCACACGCGGCCTTCTGCAACACATCGTCACGATTATTGGACATCGAATCTCCACTCATTCGCTGATGCGCAGCTGCATATAGCTCGCATCAAAACCACACTCAAGGAAGTTGCAGGTCGCAAGGAGGCAGCACCACTCAACTAGTCACTTCAGCTTTTCCTCACTTATCAAGCTTGCCAAAACTTCCATCGCGAACGTTCAAGCGCGACTTTGCATCATGGATTCAATTTGAAGAATCTTTCACCTCGAGAGTTATCAAGGATCAACTCATTGATGGAGTAACCATGTTTGCATATCTCCTGCACTACACAGAAGGTGATCTCCACGAACTCATTAACACTCTTCCTCGAACCGAGCAAGGGTTTACTGCAGCTTGGAGTGAGTTGAACTCCAATAAGCGCAGGCTGATCTTCGCGCAACTGGATCTCTTCTTCCCCACACGTTTTGAGCATCTGTCACGCCTTCTAATGATGGTGAGAAATGCAGTCAAATGCAACTAATGGACCAATCTACTGAGAACTAGAATTGTATATTGGTGTACTATGTGCCTAGGAAACTAGACAACGACGCAAAAGAACAGCAATCAAGAGGTCATCCAAGGGCGAGTCACGTCGAACAAGCCCAGCCTTTTCAGCAGACTCCGAAGGTGTTTGTGTGTGACTATTGCAACCAAGGGCACTTTCCGGCTGAGTAGAATGACTTCCACCTCGTTCCATCTGCAGAGCAAATCAAGTTAGTGAATACCAAACGTCTGTGCATTAATTGCTTCGGCAGGCATAACACTCACTCCTGCAGAAGCAAGTGTTCTCGTCGTACATGCAACCAACGGCATCACTCACGTCTCCACGACGAAATCACCCAAAGGGTGCAATCTCACACTACGCCTTTAAGCTCAAACTCCCGCTAGGAACTCGCAGCAGTCTTCAACACTCTACACTTAGCACTCAACACTCTATTAACACAGTCATCTACAGCTTTAGACACGCTACTGACTGAAAAGAAGCTTGCGACGGATAGATTGAACAGTGGTATGACCTTAGCACATGGTACTTCGGTTCCAGGAGGGTTGAGGTCGTTGAGACTCGAATTCAATTCTTCAGTATAAGCAACAGCACTCGTCAACGTCTCAACTGAGCTGACCAATCACAGAGTCAGGACATTAATAGACCCTGGGTCAAAAGTCACACTCATCTCGTGAATCTCATAGACTCATCTTGAACAATTTTTTCTTAAATTTTTTACGCCGTCGCCTTCATGGTATTAAGC